ATTTCAGCTTCAGCTGTTAACTCTGATCCTTCAGCTTCTTCCGTCTGCAGCCTCTTGATTCACGGAGTCCTATGGCAAGGATAACGGCAGCTTTGTGTGATGTTACTTCTGACATATCGAAGAAGACATCAGATAAATCTGTGCTTATCCTTGTTAGTATTCTCAGGCTCCAAGAAGCTATGCTCCCCGAGATGCCGTCGGTCCAGCTCATGACACTACGTGGATGAGGCTGTTTGTGTGGACCAGTTATTTGTTGTACGTATTTATGCTAACTTATGAAAACACTTGAAATGAGCCAGTTAGTGTGTGAGGTGAAAAAAACTGGTGTTTTCAATGAAAATGCAACAAAGTGCAGTTGAGTCAAACTAGCAGACACTATGTGATTTTTATTGATCAACCAAAAGTAGAACAGCACTACTTTTAGCCATCGTGCTTTGTACGGCTGATGAACAGTGGCAATCTGCTGTCAGTAGTTCTGTTTCTGCAAATCACGACGCTGTTTTGATGACACATAGTAAAGTGTTGAGCTGCCAAAGCTCGATTATCCTCGTCCATATACAGTTCCTAAATATATAAGGAGCCTATGGCCTTGTTTCAGTTGATTTTGTCCATAAAATGTGGTATTTCTTCTGTGTCATGTTGTTATGTTGTTGTATTTATATACAAGCAAGTACACTCAACTAACTTCAGACTGTGGATCTGCAAGACAGCCAGCCAGATTTCTGATATGCCGGGAATCTAGCCGAGCAGTTGGGAGCTACTGTAGATCGTTGGTCATCTGGGAGATTAGTTAGGCCCCGGGACCCTGCACATACTGTATGTCAAATGACAACTGATTGGGCTGAAACCTGGCGCGGCTCTAAAAATAGTCAGGGACAGTGAATTGAGCCTACAATCGGGCCAAATCTGTACAGTGTCTGCTCGGCTTTAAATGTCACCAAGCTTCTGTTCCACTGAAGACAGCAGTAGATCATAATTCAGTTTGTGGCATTGCAGAGACAGTTTGATTGTGAAAAAAAAATTAGGTAATGTGTCACCTCAAAATAATATTTTATTTTATTCATCATTGCAGTCTCAGCTGTTAACTCTGATCCTTCAGCTTCTTCCGTCTGCAGCCTCTTGATTCACGGAGTCCTATATCCTATGGCAAGGATAACGGCAGCTTTGTGTGATGTTACTTCTGACATATCGAAGAAGACATCAGATAAATCTGTGCTTATCCTTGTTAGTATTCTCAGACTCCATGAAGCTGTGCTCCCCAAGATGCCGTCAGGTCCAGCTCATGGCATTGTGTGGGTAAGGCTGTTTGTGTGGACCAGTTATTTGTTGTATGTATTTATGCTAACTTATGAAAACACTTGAAATGAGCCAGTTAGTGGAAAAATTGGTGTTTTGAATGAAAATGCAGGAAAGTGCAATTGAGACAGATTTAGTGAACACGCCACGATGCGCAGTACATGAAGTGTGTCACTTAAATATCACCAAGCTTCAGCTCCACTGAAGACAGCAGTCAAACACATAATCACATAATTCAGTTTCTGACACTGCAGAGACATTTGGATTCTGTTGGGGGGGAAAAATAGGTGATGAGTTCCAAATAGTGATAATAAATTGTAGCTGCTGCCAAGTGCACTAAAGTTGGACAGATTAAACTGCCTGTTTGTCAGATAACGATGTCATCTCTTCAGATCACATTATAAATATTTCTGGTTCAGCTGTAATGTCTTCAGATGTTCGTTATTCAGTTGTAAAGTTTTCAATTTACTGTAGATTTGCTGTCTATCGGATACAATAGCTGCATTTAAGCTTAAAATGACAGCTACTGTCGATCGCTCACTTTCCTGCTTCTCCTCCAGGTCACTCTGCCTTTCCATCACACACACTGTACATGTCCACAAGGGCAAAATGAGGTGATCTGTCCCACCAGGTCCACATGGTACTTCACACTCTGCCAGCATAATGGCATAGTATGGGCTCTCTCGAAGGCTGGCGTCTGTCCGTCAGCCTCCCCAGAGCGAGGCGTTTAAAATGGATCTGGGTCACAGTGGGATCCCCTCTGTCCTCCCGTTAGAACCTGGAAGCATTCAATTCATTTGTGCCACAGCCGCCTGCATTACTCCAGCCAATCCAAGTGACACACTTTATTGTCAGCGAGAGCTGCTGCATTATGTATTAACACTTAGCAGGTACGTTCTCTTCCATATACTTCACATACTGGTGAGCTCTGTGTCAGCTGGATTCAGGATGTCAGTGCCTGAGTGTGAATGACAAAACCGATATCTCGAAGAACAGGGACAAATCCCCTGGTATTTGCTCCACTTTCCTGCTCAGTCCCAGTAAGACTGCAGTAGCAACAGTTTACACTTTTGCTGTAAAACATATCCATTCAGTGAAGGGCTGTACAGTGGTATGAGTAGGTTTTTGTCAGGATTATGATTTCAGATTTTTATTGAGATTATTTATTGATTTGTTGTTGTTGTTGGTAAATTGACACCCCCTCCCCCATTTCATTTGAACATTTTTATTTCTAGTGCTCTTTTTTTATAATACATTTATGTGGATGAATTATGTGCTTGAGACGCCTGTGTACAAAAAGACAGCACATACTTGAGTAGTCTTTTTAAAATCCTCAAGTGAAAAGAGAGTTTTCTGCAGCTCATTCCATTTGCAGGGAGCACAGTTCACCCAAGCTCAATTTGAGCATCATTTGTACAGAGAGTGTTAAAATATCCTGTGACCTGACATTGAAAATGCTGTGTTTATATGAGACTGGAGAGCAGAGGTAATGAGGCCGTTTTTGCACTAGAGCCTTTACAGATAAATTACACACACGGCAATTCCCAGTGCATTGACTGAAGAGTTTTGGTAACCTGTCATCCTGCTGGGTTTGAGATTTTGCTGAAAGTGGATCTTTTAACAAATCAGTTTGGTACCTGATTTCACCTTTATTAGAAGTTCTCTCTCTGTGGGTGTAATTTTCCTGTCGTTAGTGATCGACACAAATGAAGAAAAGCCGAATATGTGCATATTAAGTTCTTGTTTTTATCACCCATCTGGCTATGTTGTGGTGTCCTGAGATGGCTGCAGGTTACTTGAGGACAGAAACTCACATTTTCAGGCATCTTGCTGTGGCTTTTTGGTTCCACTTCAGCTCTAATGACATTGTTCTCCACTGGCCAAACAGACCTAAACTAGTAAACACTCCAGCCTCAAATATAACTGTGTTTGTTGTGAATGTGTTCCTTCTGACTGCTTTGTGTTGTGTGGTTGCTCCCTCATGTCCTGGGGTCGACTCATGCATGGCTACATTTTAAAGTGCTGGGACTAGACATTTTCTTTGAAATTCAACCTCTTTGTAAACAAATGCGATTTAACAAATGTGTGCTGAGTTTAATACTGGAGTTGGTGCACAGTGCTGGCAATCAGATATCTCACCACAAAGAGGATAACTGGATCACACAAAAATGTAAGCCCTGAACTGGAGATTACCTCACAGAAACTCCGTTCTCTCGGGGTGATAAACTTTTGAACCTTGGTTAAACACTGGCGGTACATTTTAATGTGTGAAATTTGTGTGGCAGTTGATTTCTCAGCTGTGGGGAAAAGGATAGCGCAGGGTTGTTATGTAGCTGGCGCAAACTGCTTTCATTTCAGGTTCATAGCAGGGTAATTTTGCTGAGCTTTCTGTAGCTGCTATAATTGGTCCCTTGAACAGAGCTGTATTATTGGAAAGCAGAGTACACCTGCAGGGAGACCGGACCGAAGACTTGTCTTATAAATATGGTACACAGCCAGTTAAAGCCATTTAACTGAAGAAATCTTTACATTCCTCTTTTTTACCTGCAATGAGTGTCAATTTAAGAATGAGATTAAAAAGAAACTTAAACAACACAACATTTAAATGTATCAGATTAATCTTCACACTGGCTTGGGCTTTGGCAAAAGTCAAATAACATTTGTCATAAATGTCACATTCACCCACTGGGAAAGCAACATCATTGTAATGCTGGCACTGATCTTTAACAAAGGCAGAATATACCCCCCACCCCAACCCCCATCTCCCAATTTGTGAGCTGCAAGCTTTTTAAAGAGCTCATATACAGTATGTCATTTTAAGCTATTATAGCTCTGTTTTTGCTGTCTGTAGCACTCTTATAGGATGATAGATGAACATATTTAAATGCAAATAAGGGACGATCATCACATAACCAGCCTTCGTATGCTTTGCTGTTCAGAAACACCAGATGTAATTGAATAAAGGCAACATTTTAACTCTCTGAAATTACTTGAACTTGCATTGCCACACAGTGATGGAGGTATTCGATGATGTTGCTTTGGTTTTTTAACAACTCAAACAACAAATAATATTAGTACAACATCACTTATCACCGTGAGGCATAGCTGCATTCGTCAAAGTTGGGGCGAAACCTGTAACTTATGGATGTTTGTTTCAACTTATTATATTGCTTCTTCATGTTCTCCATGTAACTTGGAGTCTGGAAGATGTCGGCAGGCCACTATGAGATGATCTGTGGCAAAAGACAGTTAGAAATGTCCAGTGTTTTGATTGTAAACCACTGGAAGCTTTATAAACCAGTAGCACTTTGAACTGTGTTTTATGGGGAGACCTGAGAAGACCAGTGCTAATAGCCCAGTCTGCTGGAAGACTATGCAAAACCTTTCTGCTGCAGAGATGTTGTTGCTAAAATTTTCAAATGTCAAATTAAGTTCTATTCACCTCTTGTATTAAGTCTGCAGAAAAAATCTCAAAGACTGGGCAGATAGAAATGAAACTAGCAACATGGGTAGATCCCAGAGGTCAAGAAGGAAAGTCCGTTTTTTTAATTATTATTTGAGCGAACTGACCCTTTAACCTCCAGGTCAAGAACAGGATACAAAATGCGAAAGCACGTCAACAATTCTTTTCTGATTTTCTTGTGGTCAGTTTGACCAAACATGCTGAAAATCAGTCTCAATGCTTTCTGTTTTTCTTACAATAGGAAACCACCAACATGACTACCAACACAGCCACCTGGACCTGACTGCCCTCACACCTAAACTGGGTAAGAAAAGACAATAGTGTAGTCATTAACTAGAGATGTGACATTAGATTTGGTGTAACATACAGTGTATAATGCCATAATGAAATTTTAATTTGGTATGCATGCCAGAAGCACCTTTCACCATGTGGCATGTTGCATGTTTGAATAAAGTTCAATGGTGGTGATTGACCTGACTCGACTTTATGATATGCATTATTATCACTCTCTACATGAAAGTTAGCCAAACAGTTCTTGCAATAAAGTCTTTTCAATTCCAAAGGGAGAAAGTATATGTTTCACAGGGAAATTAAAATCTGAGGAACTGATAAAAAAAATTCTGCAGAGAAAATGAAAAGCAACAAGTGTATAACAATCAAAAGATCATCTGTGCAGTTTGCTGAAGGTATTGAAAAGCCAATTACTGTTATTTCATCCTATCTATTTCTTTTCTGTGAAAGGAGAGCGGCTTTCATCATGGAATTATTAAATGGTCCTGCTTCTAAACAGCAATGAAACGAAACAGTCATTTCAGAGGGAATGCAGCCTTATTTCTTACTAAAATCTCCTCTGTGATATTTTGAAAACTGCTGTGACCGATGTCTTGTGTCAGTGTTTTCAGTTTAAAGCTAAGGGATTGTCACTGAATTATTATAAAAATGTTTCACCATTATTAGAGTGCAGAGTTCCACGCCCTGCCTGTGAAAGCCTGCCTCTTAAACAGGGATGACCATTTCACTGGAAGAATGGGTTTCAAAATACTTTCAGCATGAAATAATATAGAGCTTCAAACTGATCTTTTGAAGTCTATTTAGCTTCTGACGTGACTCGTAGCTACAATATATAATTCAGCATTTGCTGGTATGGAATTTGTTTTAACCCTTGGCAGCATTCTTGCAATATTGGCTTTGAAAAAGGACAACCTCTAGAATGGGAGGTCTGGTTGAAACACTGTGCTTATTGATTGTCATTGATCCTTTCTTTCTCACTTGGATTTGTTAGCCCACAGACAAATGAGATACGGTAAGTAATACACATGGTGTTTATGTGTATTTTTTTTCTCCACCTTTTCCTTCACATGTATCACGTAGAGCTCCAGACTCTTTACCTGCACACAGGGGGTCATTCTTATTCTTCTTCCTTTTTTGTAAGCACTTGTGTATTTTTTGCAGTCACACAACCTCACACTGCTGCATTATAATCCATGACCTTTAGACCAATCTCTAAATCTTTTCTTTGCACATTATTTTTCCTTCCTTCACTCCACCTATCTTACCCACAAACACACACACACACATGTTTTTCAACTCAGTAAATCTCCCCTCTCTTCACCATATGTTTCTTTGTGTTGTGTGTCCCTGCCCTCTTTGCTGCAATGGTCACCCGGTCCTATTTTTAAATCCAAAATCAGAGTCCCAGCCCTCCCTGCCCGCTGTGCCTCCTGACCCATGACTGGGCGTCCCAAATACTGAAGCCACAGGAGCTCGACGCAGTGCAGGGAGTCTTAATGATGTCACACATACAGTATCACTGGTAACCCAGCCTGACCTGTTAAAGGCGTTTTACAAAAAGTGTCACTTGAGCTACTTAGATGCTGATGCAGTTTCTACAACAACATTCAGTAAACTATAACCTTGAAATGCCCATTGATAAAGTCACGAGACCCCCTACAGTCAAGGGAGCTTAGTTTGCCGTAGTAGAGGAAACAACATATAGTTTCTATGACGCTGTATTTAACAAATTCTTAGTTTGCCGTAAATTTAACATTAGACAAAATACTTTCTATAGACTCTTATAAGAGCCCCAAACACCCCAAGTTGGTGAAAAATCAGTTTCTCAGTATTTCTCCATTGATACCCTCTGGTGTTTGTTGGTGCACAATTGCCATCCCTCAAAGCTTCTTCAAGAACACACTAAATTTTACTTCTGGGAACATACGCAAGATTTCTCTGCAAAGAAGTCTGCTATAAGTAACCGTAGGTTGCAGAGGATGGCAGAGGAGCCAAAGTGAACACGTGGTGCTGAGGACTACGCACCCCTGTGCAAACAAGCTAATAGGTTGACCCTACTGGAAAGTAGATGTGAAACAGAATACTAGGAACTCACACAGACACAAGTAAAAACACAAGTTTTCAGTTTGTTAAAGAAAACAGCTATGTCTTCAAACAACACCAGTGAACACTTGTTTACATCTAAACAGAACTAGAATTAGTACTTTATGGCTGTATGCGTCAGCCAACCAGTCAAATTCATGGAAATGGGACAGACATGAGGTCAGTGGCCTTGACCTTTGCATGTGTGTGTGTGTCTGTGTGTTAAATTTGAAGAAATTCCCTCACAGTGTTCCTGAGATATTGCATTCACAAGAATCGGAAGAACAGAGGGTAAATGTGACCTTGACCTTTAACCTTTGACCACCAAAATTTAATCAGTTCATCCGTGAGTCCGAGTGGTCATCTCTGCAAAATTTGAAAAACTTCAAGGCACTCCTGACATATTGCATTCACAAGAATGGGTCAGGTGGACGGACGGATAACACTGAAACATAAAGCCTCCTATCTAACAAGTAGGCTGTTGCTACAGCTAGCATCTGCTCTATCGGCACATTGACTGTTTCTATCAAAAACAGACAAGGACTCCAAAAACAGTTTATGGTCAAACAAAGTCGTCACTTACTGTAAGTCTGAATGCATATTTAGTGGTAAAATGTAGATTACCTTAAGTGGCCCCCTGCCTGCAATTGCAGCTTTAATACCTCAGAATTATTCATTGTGGAGCAAACAGGGCAAAGAAAACCGCTAACCACTGCAAGTGGCCAAAAAGGTTGTACATTTAGAAGAGTAACCAGGCCCTCAGAGGTGTTGTTTCCCAATAGCTGAAGACCTTCAGTACTGCTGTCTTTCCCAGTACATCACCTCTTGCCCCCTCTATCCGCCTCCTTTCCTCTCCTCAGTAAAGACTCCCAGTGTATGAACCTTAAGTTTTGACTGACTGTGTACTGACTGCACTGCACCACTTCCTCCCCTGTGCCCTGTAGAGAGACCCCAGCGGATGAACAACATCCTGACCTCAGCCACGGAGCCCTATGACCTGTCCCTCTCCAGATCCTTCCAGAACCTCAGCCATCTGCCACCCTCATACGAGGTGGCCCTCAAGTCTGACTTAAGTAAATACTCCTCCCCCTCTGCACAGATTAAGTCGGGGGTCCTTTATTCACCCTCCATTGCAATGCTTTGCCCAATGCACTAAGAAAGACAGGGAATGACATCACCCTCATGCCCTGTGCATTAAAGTGTTGCCATATTCACCGCGCTGTGCCTGATTGAGCGTCTGAATGTCCATTACAGAGATGTGCATCATGATAAGTATCTCCAGATGTTTGGTGGCTCATCATGCAGATAGCGCTCTTAATTTTTCACCTTTTTAGGGAAATAAACTTCTTAAAATGCACGACAACACACTAAAGCTTCCATACTCATTTCCACAGACTCATCTATCGGCCCATCGACTGGCATCTAATTGGCATGTAATTTGGCTCCATCTGTGGCCCATGTCATGTTGCTAATGTCTCTTAATGACATATTAAGAGAGTTTTTTTTTCAACTGAATGGTGTCTATATGCCAACAGGATGGTGGTTTAATGTCTCGCCAATGCTAGACTTCATTACCTTCGCTGTGACATATTGACTTTGATAATAGCGTGATTGCTGCAGTGTCGTGACCAGTGCATGCTTAGTATTTTTTAGATTAGTGCATGTTTTGTATGCTTATCTGAAAGTGTATTCAGTTATTTTACCAGAAAGTCTCAAAATAACTGTAGAGTAATAGTCACATGTAAAATAAAAACATGCAATTAATTTACAATATTGACACACAGCACTGTAAGATAGGATCTGAGAGTCAGGAAAGAGATATTTAGCATGTGATTAGCATGTGATTTTTAGTGTGAATTCAAAAGATAAACCATGATTTGAAACATTTCCTAAAATTGAACTCTTACAAAACTCATCTACTGTTCTCTTTAAACAAGTTATAGCCTATATTTATTATGATATGTGAGTGATGGGGTTTCCCTGATACAGCAAAAAGCAAAAAGATGTTAAAGCAGAGGTTTGTTGAGCATGTGTCCTCTGTATTTGTGCAGTGAAATGAGTGAAATACAGTGGTGGTGCTGTATCTCTCTGGACCAGAATGTTTTTCTTTCTTCTTCTTTTTTGTTCAGAGCAACTGAAACAAGCTACAGATATAAAGATCAATCTACGTAGTACTGAGTCTGATTCATGCATGTACTCAGGAATAGATGCAAATCTAGTCTAAATGATGGGGTTTTTCTCTGGAAAGGAAAAGTAAATAAATTGTAACTGTGGTGTAAGTTTCTTTACAAGACTGTCAACATCAGTAGGAAGAGTTCTTTGTAATGCAGCCATATTTCAAGCTTAGTGGAAAAATGATGAATGAAAGATAAGTGTATAACAAAAGTGTGGATGAATACATGGCACTGTCTTTTGTCTCATCTTAATGTTCTGTTTAGGTAAAGCCGAGGTGTGTAAATTTCAGAATTTTGGTGTATTAATCATACTTCCGTTTCAAACCGATGTGGAGCTGTAGAGGATTTTTCAAACGTGGGTCAAACAGAATCTTTAAGGTGCCAGAAAAGAAACGATATTTTACATTTTGTAGTTGGCTACTTACACTTCAGATCGTCCACTTGAGACCATTTATGTTTCATGCGTCAGTTTTGAAATGAACCACTTTCAGATGAGCTGGAAATTTTGAATCACCAAGCGATAAGAGATCACTGGAGAATGACTGTTTGGTTGCAGATGGACTGCTCTTGCCTGAGCAAATCAGTTGCATGGCACATTTTCTCCTGTGGCTTCTACCTTCAGGCTTTGCTTTCAGATTTCTTTGAACATACTCAAGTACACAGGCAGTGAAAATGTGCTGCTAAGTGTACTGTCATGTTTGTCAGTTGAGTGAGTACAATGGAAACACGCTGTTTGCTTTGCAGGGTATTATGTTGAGTTGCCACATTTAACAGAGATGACAGTAAATCTTTTCTTCAAACATTTCCTTTAGCTTCAAGAAGCTATTCTGAGTTTTGAATGATTTGTCATTGAAAACACTGTAGAGCCCTTAAACCATATTCAGAGTACTTGTACAGTTTGTTAAGCATTATTTGCAAGAATTAATTCAACATGTCAGTGCACCATTTATTTTTCTTTGACACTTAGAGACATTATACATAGAGAGAAAGTCATTTAAGTGTGCCACTGGCCCTTTGTTCATAGTATGGTTGTGTGATGAAAAACATGCATCAGTACAATCTCCTTTCAGCACATTCAACATTCTTCTTGTATATAGTTGCCTTTTCTCTTTCTTATCAACGAGGTTTTGCTGTTATTTCACTGGAGCCTTGTACAGACACAGAAAGTCACAGAGGTGAATGCGGAACTATAAAAGAGACTTTTGAATTTGAGACAGAATTTGTCAAACAAGCAAGCAAAGTCGTTCCTCAAAGATGGCCCTTCCACTCAAAATAAAAGTAGGTTATGAGTGAGGTCTTTGGAAAAAAGCCTAAAAGTAATAGAATGACTTGCTGTTTAAATTAAACCATCTGGAGAGATGATGATTACTAAATTAAATTGTTGTGGTTTATTTGCCATTTTAAATGACTGCGTAGTGTGTGTGCGCACGTGTATGTGCACGTGTGTGCGCACGACTCCTCTTCCTCGCCCATCCATCAGGAATGTCAACGAGGCAGAGATAGAGGATGCTGCTCTAAAATAACTCAGCTGCTTCGAGGAGGCTGGAAAAAGGAGGAGAAACAAATCTTATGTGAATCTTTTGTCTTTGACTTTAATCACCCCGAAAAAGATTAAAACACTTTTCAGAACAAACAGGCTGCCTTTAATTCTCCCTAAAATAAAAAAAAAACACTTTAAATTTCACATCTTCTGTTTTGACGTGCTCTATAGATCACTTTATAATTGATGTTCCACTTTCACGAGCGTTAGTGCAGTATGTGATCACAGTCGTCTGTGATCAATAGCTTACACATAAATATAGTGGCTATATTGAATCTAATCTCACAGAGTGAGGGCTGGGGGTTAATTAGCAGGTGTTAGAGGTTTAGTAGGATCCCTTAGCATCTCGCAGTCATGTTAATTGTTAAGTGCTGCATTTTATCTGTGCTGCAGAGATGAGACTAAGAAAAATGCACCAACCAATTTTATTCACTTAAAGTGTAAACAGTGTAATGGGTGTAGACTCATAAAAGGTAGTTGTTGCACTTGGCCATTTTGAGGCAGTTGAGGAATTAAAATTATAATATTACAGTGAAGTTTCTTACAGTGGCTGCAGTCTTTATTTACCTCAGTAGTGGAGGAGCCTAATGTCCCCTGATATATTTTGTTCAGTTTTAGTACAAAGTATGTCTGATTTCTGTTGGACCCCTGTTTTGATTTGTTGCTCATGACTCAATACTGCCTCTATGTTTACATGCTTTTATGATAAATTCAGAATGTTGTATTCCAATTCTGTTAGTACAACAACAGGCATGCCATATTCATCTCATAGCTTCTCTTTTTAACATAAATATTGTTTTCATTCTGTAATTATCTCCAGTTTATTTTACTTTACTGTGTTTCAGTCACTGTAAAGTTGCCATCAAAGGATATCAACACCTTCTCCACAAATGTTTTCATATTAAGAGTATCTCAAGAAACAAACCTCTTGTTCCCAGTGAGTTTTTATTTTGAAGGAAAAGGAGCTGTAGTTCACAGAATCCTGTGAGGCCAACACCCACAGGAACAAAAAGGAAGTGCAAAAAAAAAAACCAAAAAGTGTGGACTGCTTCTCCTTTTCCTTTATGCGCTGCTTTTGTCCTGCAACCTGTACCCAGTTTCGAATGGATATGCCCACCAGCCATCCACCAAGTCGTTAATCTGAAACAGTTTTGAGTTTCTTTGATGGTTAATTAAACAGGTTTGGAAAAAGAGCAGAGTGGAGTATCTGGGAATAGAAAAGCAAACAAGCGAACAAAAAGTACACACTCCTTTTATATTTGGGCTTTTTTTGTGTTTGATCTTATCTGAGACTCACTTTTTATTTAAGAATTGATGGTGTGTTTATTCTTATCATAGCAGGACATAATGCATTCTTACCGCATTTACATTTGAGTATGTAATCACTATAGATCTCTCACAGTGACTGGATACTCAAGTTTGACCTATTAATGGAGCTGTGGGCCACGGTCTGTCAATTGTCTGTACACGTCAGCCTCTGGTTGAGTTTGGTTGACATTTTCTGCCATAATGTCACATCTAAACCAAACCTTCAGGGAAAATTGCTGGAGCACATAGCCACAAGCCAGAGCTGAGCCTCCTTCATTAGGAATGCACAGAGCAGTGGGCATGAAACCCCTGATGGAGGAACAATGAGGTGACCTTCTGTATCCAGTCATGACTTCCCTCCCCATGAGACAAGGATCCAGACAAACAATTCCCACTGCTCCTCTTATCCATAACTCACTGAAGCTCAGTATGGTCCTAAAACAGCCGTTTGACCTCTGTGTTCTGCAATAATTAAGTACTGCAAAGGTAACGACCCCCCAGCCACAACAGCAAAGCAGCGAGCTTCCATAATAGCATCCTCTTGTGTCCCAGAGCTGACAAAACTGGGTATATAAAAGGTTTGCAGAGAGCTGATTCCTGCCTGTGATTATTACAGCCACAAAGACTTTACTGTTAGGACTGTGTTCCCACAATGGAGCGAGCGATGCGCTTTCTTGAAGAGGAACTGAACTGAACTGCTGGTCCAGACACCACCAGTGCATGGACTGTTGAATACTGCAGCACTCTGACGAGCCCTCTCCACACTGAAAGACAACTACACAGAGTAGTGTCTGCTGTTCTTCTGTTTTTCATGAAGAAAAAGGGCAATACAATTCCACCATTTGGAAAAGGTCGCTCCAGCTGTTGTGTTCATAATCCTTAACATCACTTCAACAGCAGCCAGGTGTAGGACAAATATAACAGAGACTAATGTGTCATCATTTTCCCCTCTTGCACTTTTAACTTCTCCTGTTCAGTCTGTCAGTATTTTTACATTTAAGGACTATTTTCTTTCAGTTCAAAGATAAGGCCAGTCATTTTCTATATTAATAGCATTTTCACGGATCTCCATACAGATACTAAAACGACAATAATTTGCCTTTACTCATGGTTAATGTCTGTCAGCTGTCAGTCCGTGGTTGTTCAAAAAGAATGAAAGGATTAAAAACATATGAGGGAAACGGACCGCTACAATGACAAATTTTTTTGGGGGGGGGAGGCCGGCAGGATGAAACTTGGGCCGATCCCCAAGTCTCGGAGCAGCCATAATTTCATCAAGTTAACACGAGTCAGAGTAAACTGCGCATGTGCAAGATTTTGTGGGATCTCCCAACTTTGTTTACATTCTGCTAGCTCCTCGTGTTCGAGTCTGGTGTTACTGATGTGTTTTTAATCATTTTTTAACAACAACAGAGCTCTATGGCACAGACAAACATGCTGATCTAGGACTGACACATTGACGGATATTAAACATGAGTAGAGGCAATTCGTTGGAGGCTTTAGTCTCTCAATGGGCATTGCTGAAAATACTATTAACATAAAAAATGACCGGGCTTATCCTTTAACATAAATTTTAGGTTGTCAAAATGTAGTAAGCTTAGACTCCTAGGAGCAACTCATTTACAATATACAAGTAACAGTACGTATATATTGATGCCAAAACAAAATAAATTTGACTAGCAGTACTTGGTGCTCCTATTACCATCAGGATCATAACCAGTGTTGCCGTTTTCAGTATTTTTGAGCACACCGTTTGATCTGACACCACGGTTGTTTCGCACGTTTCTTTCACTTGTTTTATTAATGTCAGTTGAGATACACAACACATATTCTGGTTCTCTGACTACCAGCCACAAAAGTAACCCTGCAGGTCAGAGAAAACATCCACCCAAAGCACCAGTGTTAGGCTGGATGGCAGGGGTTCTCCCAGGAATGGGTCAGAGTTGCCAATTACTCAGCTTGTGAGTCAAACTTTGATCTTGTCTGAGTCTGCACAACTATAACTAAGACAAGGGGAAACTAGTGATTGTGCCTTATAAGGAGTCAATTCTCAGCTGGGTATCACAACCTGAGATTGGCCATAGATCTTTTATGGATGCTTTCAAGAACCGCTGTGCCACTAGAGACAGGGAAAAAGAAGAAGTGCTGAACTTCTTAAGCTTCCGATTCTGGGAGAGGGTATTTGAATGAAACAAACACCAACACCGTGTGGTTCTGGGGCCCATTTTACAAAAACAATGTGGGAACACTGCTTACATGCAGATTCCAAATAGTGGCAGCATTTTTTTAGGAACTGACTGTTTATTTCAAACTGCAAATAAATGTGGAAGCCCTACAATGTACTTTCATAGTTATGTGAGAAATCTTGGGGTGGTATTTGATGTGCTCTAAAGCTGGACGAACAGATAAAGTCTGTAGTTAAAGCCAGTTTTTTTTTCAATTGAGACTTTTGGCTAAGGTTAAACACTTTCTTTCTTTTAGTGATTTTGAAAAGGCAATTCATGCCTTTATTAGCACTAGACTAGATTATTGTAACGCACTGTATACTGGCATTTCTCAAGCTTTATTGTCCCGACTACAGTTGGTCCAAATTTCAGCAGCTCGTCTTTTAACTAATACGCGGCGCCATGAGCATATCACTCCAGTCCTTGCCTCTCTACATTGGCTTCCTGTTCGTTTTCGGATTGATTTTAAATTGTTGATGTTTGTCTATAAGGCTGTACATGGTCTGGCACCTTCATATATTTCTGAGCTTGTGCGCTTTTATACTCCAGAAAGGACACTTAGGTCTTCGAACCAGTTGTTCCTGGAAGTGCCGAAGTCCAGACAGAAACATTGGGGAGACCGAGCTTTTTCAGTTCGGGCTCCTATGCTGTGGAATGGTCTGCCACGGGAGATTAGATCTGCTCCGAAACTGTCTGTTTTTAAATCACTTCTTAAAACGCATTTGTATTCACGGGCCTTCGACAATTTTATTGATTGATGTATTTGTTTTGACTATGTATTTTTCTTGTTATTTTACTGTATAGATGTGTTTTATCTGGTCTTAGGTATCTTTATTATTATTATTATTTGTTTATGTTTTACTGGAAAGCACCTTGTAACGCAGGTTTAGAAAGGTGCTATATAAATAAACTTTGCTTGCTTGCTTGCTTGCTTATGCATGGGTTGCAAGAATTATGTTAGTTTTAATTAGTGAAATGTGACAAAATTAACAGGAGAAGAAATTATCTCATGTTGCAAATTTCAATTTGCTTGTTACACATTTGGTGAAATGTGGCCTGGATAACTTCTCATGACAGCGCTTGGGATTGTTATTGAGAGGTTTCAAATGTCATTCAAAGAAATGTGGAAATCACTGCTCAGATTGGATTGCAGGACACACACACATCAATAATTGCAGTGCCTAATTACAAAGTAACTCTTAAGTTGTAAAAGCATCCGAGGGTGTGTTTTATCAAAGGAATTCCAGTAGTCCTGATACTGTTGTCTCTCTCATCACATTTGTCTCCTCAGGTGATAAAGATGTAGATGAATACTACATAAGGAAACATCATCATTCTGACTTTGGTGGCCGGGGGCCCACCCACATGGTGAAGCTGAACAGTGATCCCCAGCAGCGGCAGCGGCCCCGCCGAGTCCAGCGGGCCATGTCACAAGACCACGTTCTATCGCCTCCCAGGACGCCACGTCGTGGAGACTATGGCTTATCTTCATACGGCGCCATGGCAGCGGCTGCATACGGAAGTAGCCGTCACCTTTCAGAGGAGCAGCTACTCTCACCAGACCGTCTCCACTCCCAGGATCCGTTGTTGTTGTCCCCAGCAATGAGACGCGACAAGTTCCGGGAGAAGGCCATGGCAAGGGCGATGTCCCACGCTGACATGCTGCTGCCCACCACACCAGTTATAGACCGCCACAAGATGACCAAGATGCACTCTCAACCCAGTGCCTCTAACGACTACAACACACTGACGGTCAACCACCAAGCGACCACATCTAAGAGACAGGCGTTTGCCTCCCGACGAACACACACGGTGGACCATCTACAGTACATTCCGGGCCACCACACATTCCGCACTGCCAGTAAGAACGAGGTAACTGTTTAACCACAGGGTGGAAGGACTGAAGCACGGACATCTACAGAAATCTCCAAAATCAGCAGATGTTCTCAACAGAAGTGTTCAGTCTTGTTAAGACAACCTCCTACATTAAACATCTCTTCCTGCTTTTTAGCACAAGCTTCCTGTGTCATCCAGATTTTATTAGGATCAACCCTGGCAAAGACATTTCTCTATTAGAGCATCATAAGGGCTTTGAGGGATATTTCATGTCAGAAATGTGACCGTGTGAAGAAAATATTTTTTAAACTCGATGTGGGACTAGAAGGAAACTGTATCAACTTTATAAATATATAAATATGCTATATATACTTTTTGTATTTTCAGTCCTTGTTATAGCTTTAGAGATTCTCACTGAATGAGGCATTTCAGGTGGTGCCTCTGAAAAATTGTACCATTTCAATGATGAAGTGGATTTGTGGGTTAAAAAGCACAATTAATGAATTTCTTTTTTGGTTGATTTTACTCTTCTTCTTTGGTAAACGGCCAGAACATATCAGCTTATTAGTGAAAATAAAGGCTTTTTATGTTGCATACAATTGATGAGTGTAAATAAGCTATATTAGCAGCATTAAAATGAGAAAGCTGGCCATTTGGCATTATCATTTGATTTTTCTTCTCCCATCTGAACTCTATCATTGATTCACTATTATTAATTTTTACATTTAAATAGAACAAAGATCCCACATTACTATTATTGTCACAGATGTCTGCCAAATATGTGGATTTAATATGTATAAAGGAGTAGTTTTATTTATGTCTGCAGACATAAATACACAGGTGAAAATGCCAGATAAATCACACGTTTCTATTCACACATTTTGAGGATAACCCACCACTGCCCGCAGTGCTCAATTTGTGATTGGCTAGCTTCTTTCATCTCTACATTTCAGGTAGCTGGTGTCAGAACTAAGAAGCATAGTAGGTCCCATTGTAGTCTAGTCAAGCAAGGGTTAATTAAAACTGTGAAGCGTTTGTACAGATGTTTTCATTAAAGCAATGCCTTATTGTGTGGATTCCCATATGCTCTTAACTGAACAATCATGTTTTTGTTATGCCTTGTTGTCTTACCTTTTGTGCAATATTATTAATTATAAAGTAATTTACCAGCAGAACCAGCTGTAAAAGTGATAGATGATGTACAGCGGTAGATGATACAGTACATATACCTCAAAAAGACTCATTTCAATTAAAGAAGTCTCAAACTTTAAAAGGAAAACAGTTACTAGATACATTATATTCTTATTGGACATTTGTAAACCTGAATTAGAATTGTTTGGGGTATGCTAACTCATTGGTATGTATGTACAGTGCTTTTGTTTTCAGCTGTTCAGTGTAGGAAAGATGGGCACTTGAGTTGGTGACTTGTCCGACATAAATAGGTTTCCCATTATAGTTTCACAACTCTTCCCTAACTGACTCTAGACTTGACTCAAATTTGTGACCATTAAGAGTTTTTCAAAGATTGGTTAAGGGCTAGACATACTTTACGCATACTCTCTTGCATATGTGGACACGGATGCACACGGGTTCCTATTCATACTTCAATTTGAGCGTCTGCTTTCTGTCAGTGCATGCTGAGGTTTTCCAGGCATTGTTGTACATGCACAGTTGCGGCTTTTGCTATGCAGGCAGTCCGCACAGACACAAACTTGTGGTCTCCACAGAGTTTACGCAGACCTGGAAAAATGACTAAAATGGCGTCGATCGACCATAGCAGACATGTGGACACACAAAGCATGAATAGGCCTTTAGTCACTACTGTCTCTCTCCCAGCTGCACATGTATGACATGAGGCCCAAGCAAAACATGTAACAAGGTGTGGGTTAGGGTTAGGGTTAGGGGTTGGTATCTAACACCAAGGATTATGAAACACTAAGCTTTGGAAGTTATTGATCACCTCTTGGTGATGGGCTCAATATCAGATGCGAATACAGGGATTTCAAAATCCTTGGGCTTAATAGAAAAATTGCCTACTATAAACAATGTGAAGAAAACAATAAAAGGCCACAGGTCAATCACAATGTCATAAGGCACTTGACTGCTAAGCCAGACACATACTGTAGGTCAGTATTACAGATAGCCTGTAAGTTAATCTGGTGTTAGTGATATGTTTGCATTAATGGCATTGCTTGTTGTTGTCATGTGTTTTATCTAGTGCTAGGCACTTTGTCTCTGTAACTTAATGCAGCTGTTCAGGTTCACTATGTTTAACTTTACTGCACTCTGTCTACTAACACAAACTTCTTGTTCAAGAACCTTCTGGCTCATGGTTATTTGCTAAACTGAAAATCTGTTAACATGCATAATAATGGTCACATGATACTGTGTTGATTATGTTACCAGTTATATTGTGACATTTGATAGGGCTGCAAAAGGCTAAGAGATGTTTCTCAATGCACTGCTCAAAAAAATTAAGGGAACACTAAATGACACATCAGATCTTGATAAACAAATTATTCAAGTTGAAAACCTTTAGTAATGTACATTGTATAATTTGTCCAGAACAAAATGGCATAACAACGGCCAGTGAAAACCAAAATCATCAACCCATGGAGGGCTGTATTCAAAAATCACACTGAGAATCAAAGTGAAAAGCTGAAATCACAGGCTCGTCTCAGTTGTGTGAATTTCATCACAGCAGCTCATAATGTGACTCAGAAGTGTGTATGGCCTCCGTGTGCCTGTATGCACTCCTGACAACATCTGGGCATGCTCCTGATGAGTCAGCGAATTGTGTCTTAGGTGATCTCCTCCCAGACCTGGATCAGTGCATCAGTGAGCTCCTGGACAGTCTGTGGTTGTGCTTGGTGGTGTCAAATGCACCCATAGTTACCCAATTGGATTTAGGTCAGGGGAACGTGAGGGCCGGTCAGTGGCATCAATGTCTTCATCATCCAGGAACTGCCTACACATTCTGGCCACATGAGGCCAAGGCGTTGTCCTGCACCAGGAGGAACCCAGGGCCGACTGCACCAGTGTGAAGTTTGATAATCCTGGGATTTATCCTGGTACCTCACAGCAGTCAGTGTGCTGCTATGACACGGAGGTATATGGCATCAGAGTCACTGACCCTCCACCAAACTGGTCATGCTCAATGATGTTACAGGCAGCATAACGTTCTCCATGGCATCTCCAGACTCTTTCATGCATGTCACATGTGCTCAGTGTGACCCTCCCCTCATCTGTGAAGAGAACAGGGCGCCAATGGCAGACCTGCCCATTCTCCAATTCTGGTGTTCTCTGGTGAATGCCAATCGAGCTGCACGGTGCTGGGCTGTGAGCACCGGTTGTACTAGAGGATGCTAGGCCCTCATGCCACCATCATGGTATCTGTTTCTGGCAATTTGGTCAGAAATGTGCACACCAGGAGCCTGCTGGAGGTCATTTTTGCAGTGCTCCTCTTGTTCTTCCTTGCACAAAGGAGCAGATACCAGTCCTGCTGCTGGGGTGTTGCCCTTCTACAGCCCTGTACAGCTCTCATGGTGTAATGGTTGCTCTCCTGGTATCCCCTCCATTTTCGAAAGACTCTGCTGGCAGACACAGCAAACCTTCTTGCAACTGTTTGTATGGATGTGCCATCGTAGAGTAACTGGACTATTTGTACAATCTGACTGGGCTGCAGGTACTGCCTCATGCTACCGGTAGTGACAAGTACACTAGAAAAACACAAAACCTGAAAAGAATCAGTCAGGAAGGATAAGAAGAGAGCGTTTGTTTGAGGCCACCACATGTAAAACCATTTCCTTTTTGGGGGGGTTGTCTTGCTTTAGTCTCTCCATTACGCCTGTTGTCACTTTCATTTCTACCAAAGCAGGTGAAACTGATCCACAATCACTTGTGCTTCCTAAATGGACAGATTGATATTCCTGAAGTTTAACTGACTTGGTGTTATACTGTGATGATTAAGTGTTCCCTTAATTTTTGATTTTTTTTATGTATTTATTTACTTATTTGAGCAGTTTATTTTTGCAGTTACTGCCTACAGTTTGCCCTGGAATCAAAATATCTTTATTTGCATTCAGTTTTCATATCTATTTGCAGGTTCACATAATTCAACAAGGGGAAATTTAGATGGTCTGTTGAACCTGAGACCGCATGACCATCTAGGACTAGAGTTAGACACGGTTCAAATTATACTTAGTCTAACCAAGTTGGGTAGTGTCTTCTACTGATGCAGGTCTTAGGTTTGTGTCAATATGTCTAATACAAAAGTGAATTTAAAACAAATGCTCTATCGGCTCTGATCCCAATACATTTTTCATATTTGTAGTATAGTGAGAACTAGAAAGTGCAGAAAAAATAAGTCGCAAATTAAGAGAATGAAGATTTTTAATAATGATTTAGATTTTCCACTGGTCCATTTGCAAATGTGTCTACACACATCTAGTGAAGAGACCAAAGGTCTTGGCAGTGTCTGCTTATTACCAAACTGTCTGTGGGGCTAAAACAGTCTTTGTATGTCTGTAGACTCGCACTGCCCATTCTCTAAATGAATGATGATATTTTCTGTATCTCTTAGTGATAACATTCATCAGATAGCTATTTACAAGTAAAACAACAGGAACACTGCTGTTTCTATTATTGTTTGAGTTGTAGGCTACTGTATATAAAGTCTTGAATACTATGTTATTTGTGATTGGAACTGTACTTTCAATGACAGAAAAGCATTGTCTTTTAACACATAAATCTAAGATTTTGTTAAAATATGCTTATTTAATGTTGCACGTCATTTTTCTTAAGTTGACTGTCTTATTTTTTTATAAAACTGAATTATGACTGACTGATAGCGTAGGGATGTGGAAAGTTGACCAAATGTATCTTTTGCTCAACAAATGCGTTTCTTTAAATCGATGTGATTCTGTAAATTTTTAAGCCAGGTCTGCATTACAGTAAATGATGTCAATTAGAGATTGTCTTTTTGCCCAAAATTATCATTGTACATATGATTTTTCTCCTTTTTGTAGAGTGCTTGCAGTAAATGAAGTACATTTGATTGTCTTAACTGAGGGAAGGGTGTTAATTGTTTAGCGTACTGCTTTAGACAAACTTCTGCTCCTTCTTTTCTCATAATTAATAATGATGTCACTCCAAAAGCCTTTTTCTCTGTGTGCAATATTTCCTCTTCATGCAGTATAATCCTATAGACACTCTTTTTAAAATGCTGAGGTTCATTTGCTGCCATATATTTTTGTTGTTGTTTTGATTTAGGACTGTTGTCTTTCATAGTCAAAGGCGAGGGTTTTGTTGTTTGTTTTGTTTTGTTTTGTTTTTGACTAATACAGATAAATTTGGTATGAATGGAAAGGTGTCTGTGTAATTGCATTTAACTGGAGACCAATTTAAATGCTTCGAAGCAACAAAAAATGACTGTTCTTGTGCATTTTTCATGTTGTTTACAAACAATTAAAGCACTGCGTGCATAGATATATACACCGGATGCCGCATGAGCCACTTCTGTCTACTACAGTGACAAGTCACTATAGCCGCCATGTTCCCAGGGGAAGGCCACGCCTCCTAATTGATGCATGTGTATGAAGGCAGGAGGTCTACCCATGCTAAAATCATCATACCTCACTAAATTTACAGCCAATTTCCAGCAGTTTCATGTGTTACAAACCCCAGACCTGTTGCAGGATGTTTGGTTAAATTAGAAAATACAGATTTTCATAACAAAACACTTCATTTTTTGCAGATTGTAACAAAACATTTACATGATATAAAGCATACACTTAATAATTATTAAAAGTAACGATCCCGCCAACCATCTGCATTGTAAAATGGCTGCTATAATACAGAACTACACAAACGCTAAAGTTAAAAGATTAAATACATCTTTTGTCAGGCTATACATTTCTCTTTTTAATTACATTTCTAGTGAAATGTTCATATTTTCCTCATTTATATTTTATTGCACATTATGTATGATATTTATCCACAGTATGTATTACTTTCCATTGTGATATGTCAAATAATGCGGCTGTAAAAACTGAATGGTTCAGTTTGAAGTCGTAAATCCCAGAGGTAAGCTGACATTTTTGAAGTTTCACTGTGGGCTCCCTTGGTTGAACTGATTACATTTCAAATGGGAGTTTAGTTGAAAGGTTAAAGTCAGATCTGTGGCACACCTGACATTTTATCAGTTAGTTTAAACAGAAAAAAATATTAGTACTCCCTGCTCATATGCTTCCACAGTGATATTAAGTGGATTTACCAGTTGACTCTTTTTCCTGTTTCAGTTTTTTACAAATCAGCCATAAGTACAAAAGTCGACGAGTGTTTCAGTTACCTTATTTTTTTGCCATTATCATGAGATCTCAAGTCTCGTGATCTTGAGATTAAAATGAGCTTATTTTCTCGTGATAAACAGCTAAATTATTTAGTTATTTCTACAGAAAAAAGGGTAGTTTATAGATTATATAATTTATAACAAGAAAATGACTTTTTTTTCTTTTTAGAGCTCACAGGGTGATTACTGCCATCAAACCAGCCGTTGTTCACGTCTTCGTGGTCAAACCAGCCACCGGTAAAATTGAAGTGCACCTACATATCAGCCTTTTTGCTAAATGTTTGGAAAATGAGTTGGTTAGTACATAGACTATGTAAAACAAGTCTATAATCTGACTCCACTATAACAGAACAATATCAGTCCCTGTCAGTATGGACCAATGTTATGGACAATGGTTTTATTTTATCTGCCCTAAAATGTAAAAACTGAAGCCATTTCTTTAATTAACAAACAAAAATCTGCTTTTGAGCATATGAATAACAGAATAAATAATATATGATATGCAGTTGTATTTTTTACATCCAATGCATTGTAACCTAAACCCCTATATAAAGCTATATTTTTTCTTTTTTTAGCAATTTTATTTAATTTCAAAAGGCTAGGGTTACAGGTTACATAAAGTTCTGTGATTTTTATTGGTTTAATTGCTTTGTCTTTAATGATTTTAACATGTCCTGGTCAGATATCTTACAAAACATATACTCTATATCACCATATAGTCAAAATAGTCATGTCTTCTTGCAAAACATTATTTGTGTTAAACCAGCTTGTTTTCTTATGATAAATTATCTCATCATCCTTTTGCTTTCTTGAGTTAACAAAACAGTTGACTCATGATCTCGAGATAGCGGTATTTAAAATAAAAAAAGCAAGCACAGCCGTTCTCGTCTTTCATAATCAGTAATACATGTTAAGAGAATTGACTTAACTTAAAACAACTTGAAGGTGGCTGTGAATTCCTTTACCTTGTGGAGGTTTATCCAACAGAGCATTTGCTGTTCTCAGTCTTTTCATGCTTCTTTTTGCATTTTATTGTAGAGATTACAGCTGTTTGCAGTACTTTTTTTTGTGGTTCCTACAATCTGCCTTTGTAAATTTGTCTTTTTGCTGTTCATTCAAAGTGAGCATTTAATTATGTGCCACAAGTCAGTTCTTTACAATTTGCAGAACTGATGCCCATTAGCAGAGAACAAATAGAAAGCACCAGATGGCATTGGTCACAGGTTGATGCAACCAGTACACAAGACAATCAAATGAAGTGCTTTGCAGTTCTCACACTATCAAAGAGTGAGAAGTAAATGTGACTGAACAATTTATGTAAAGTTAGCCTTTGTATGGTTTTACCTTTAGTCTTGTTTATCTTCTTGTAGCCTAAAAGATGCATTCAAAAGGCCACTTCTGTTTTAATGCTCCCATTTGGTTTATTGTTTTTCCTACACACAGCTCCAACTGTGATCATTATTTCTGAGAATGCAAGTCAGTACTATGACCTTGTGGAGAGTGTTTTCTTCAAGCTTCCTTGGTGAGAAGCTGTTGGAAGAGAATGGCTTTCTTGCACTTTGAGACAAACTGTGTGCTTTGACATTGTACAGAATCAATAAAGACACAGCTCTTTGGTTTCCTCGGTGGTCAGTCTGCCGCGGCACTGTTCAAAAAGGACATGTCATTACCTGTTTCTGATTTGTCTCTCAGTCATCCTTGCACATTTTTATCATGAAGTAGTTTTTGTTTTGTTTGTTTGAAATGCTCTAATT